GTTAATACTGAAATACTTGTGTAGTTAATACTAGAACTCTTGTGCAGTTAATACTGAATACTTATGTAGTTAATACTAGAACTCTTGTGCAGTTAATACTGAATACTTGTGTAGTTAATACTGGAACTCTTGTGCAGTTAATACTGAATACTTGTGTAGTTAATACTGGAACACTTGTGTACTTAGTATTGAAATACTTGTGTAGTTAATACTGGAACTCTTGTGCAGTTAATACTGAATACTTGTGTAGTTAATACTGGAATACTTGTGTAGTTAATACTGAAATACTTGTGTAAGTTCGCTTTGAAATTTACTAATATTTTAATTTGTACTTTTTACCATTGTTGTAGTCTCTCTTCTTGTTTATTTTCTTTTTGTCTCTAATAGCTGTTGTAATCTCTCTTGTTTATTTTGTTGTTCTAGCTACCACTGCTGTTGTCTCTGTTCTTGTTTCTTTTCTTTTTCCTCCAACAACTGCTGTAATCTCTCTTCTTGTTTATTTTGTTGCTCTTGTATTGCTGCCATCAAATCTGCTAAGCTGTAGTTTGATTTGCCGCTTCTCGTTTCCATTTTTTTTGTCCCACTCTCTGACATCAATTTGTTACACATCTGGTCGTAAGTCAACTTCCCGTATAATTTCTTTCCGATGAAACTTTAGCGACACAAGTCCTTTCTTAAATAAAACTAGTTTATTCTTTCTCAATACAACTTTGAATTACACTTAATTTCCACAGTCACGCTATAACAAACGCTATAATTCACAACGAACGACTCACGTGCTCGACTCAACTGTCAGCCTCTATCTCTGTCGGCAGTTCAATTACATTGTTGCCCTCACTTCTTGGCGGTCTTATATTAAAGAATACCGCATATCTAGTAAACACTCGAGGCTTGATAAAAGGACACGAACGTTCTAGAAGCTCATGACGTGTTACCAGCGTCACGTGACTTCCGCTGTCGTAACAATATAGTAAACACACTGTATAAGTCACTCTAGTAATTAGTATGAATACTGACTTTATATTACGCAGAATACATCTAGTGAGGTCAATATTTTACCTAATTACTCATCTATACAGTGAACACACTGTACAAGTCACTCCAGTAATTAGTATGAATACTGACTTTATCTTACACAGATTACATCTAGTGAGGTTAATATTTTACATAATTAATCATCTATACAGTGAACACACTGTACAAGTCACTCCAGTAATTATTACGAATACTGGCTTTATATTATGCAGGTTAATATTTTACCTAATTACTCATCTATACAGTTAACACACTGTACAAGTCACTCCAGTAATTAGTATGAATACTGACTTTATATTACACAGACTACATTCTGTGAGGTTAATATTTTACCTAATTACTCATCTATACAGTGAACACACTGTACAAGTCACTCTAGTAATTAGTATGAATACTGACTTTATATTACACAGACTACATCTAGTGAGGTTAATATTTTACCTAAATACTCATCTATTCAGTGAACTGTTACTACACAAGTCACTCTAGTAATATTGACTTTACTGTTTCTGTATGGATAATAGATATATTGTGAAAATTCAAAGTAATGAGGAGTATTTTAAAAACAAGAATATATTTCTTTAGCACTTAATGTAAAGTGCATTTACTGGTGTATTATGAAAGTAACACCAAATTTAGTCTATAGTAAATTTTTATCGAAGCAGACTAAGGTGAAGCACATAATAGTTACCTAATACTTGTCTTATGCTGGTTCCTTACTTTCTCAACATATGTCTCAGCTGAGCCACGAATTGAACACTCTACATCCAGCATACTCAACAGGCCAGTTCTCTATAGAAATATTACAGAAATGTTTTAGCCAGAGAATGCACCTGCTGATGACACACAAATGAAACACTATTGCACACATTTATTTGTTCATTTGGCCTATTAACAATACTTGTTACTCATACCACCTGTTCCCAGACTTTACAAAATATGCTCACTTCATATTCACATTTCAATCTATGACATCTCCACCCATAACATTTGAAAATATACACATTTCCACCAATATTATCTATGTACTTTGTATTCAAATGTCAATACATGACATTAGAACATTAGAAAATACATATATTTCCAACCATGTTATCTGTACTAACAACTTTGTAGTGTTTGCTATACTTTCCACCCTCACCACCTGACCCCAGGTCTCTATATAATATAGTTGGTACACACATTTCCACTGTTCCAGAATTGTACAGTATATACTATAGTTGGTACACAGATATCCACCAAGACCATGTGTCAGTAGAACTGTACATTATATGCTGTAGTTGGTACACAGGTGTTCACCAAGACCATGTGTCACCACAGTTGTACAGTATATACTATAGTTGGTACACAGATATCCACCAAGACAATGTGTCACCAGAACTGTATTGTATATGCAGTATTTAGTACACAGGTGTTCACCAAGACCATGTGTCACCACAGTTGTACAGTATATACTATAGTTGGTACACAGATATCCACCAAGACCATGTGTCACCAGAATTGTACAGTATATACTATAGTTGGTACACAGATATCAACCGAGACCATGTGTCACCACAGCTGTATAGTATACGTTACAGTTTGTATGCAGATGTCCACCAAGACCATGTGTCACCAGAACTGTATAGTATATGCAGTATTTGGTACACAGATATCCACCAAGACCATGTGTCACCAGAGCTATATAGTATATGTTATAGTTGGTACACAGGTGTTCACCAAGACCATGTGTCACCAGAACTGTACAGTATATGCAGTATTTGGTACACAGATATCCACCAAGACCTTGTGTCACCAGAGCTATATAGTATATGTTATAGTTAGTACACAGGTGTTCACCAAGACCATGTGTAACCAGAACTGTATAGTATATGCAGTATTTGGTACACAGATATCCACCAAGACCATGTGTCACCAGAACTGTATAGTATATGCTTCAATTGATACACAGATTTTAACCAAGACCATGTAACACTAGAACCTCAAAGAAAACATTGTAACTGGAAGAGAGGTTTCCACTCATAGCACCTGGCTCCAGAACATAATGTACTTCATATACAAATTCCCACACATATACCCTCTCTTTTCAGAACTCTCATAAATACATTACTTGATATACATCTTAATGTGTAAAAAAACATATAATAATTATGTAAATAGCAGTTTCAATAGATCAATGTTTTGTGTGTTAAAGTAAAATTGAAAATCATTTTTGATAAATCTTCATTTACTGGCTTTCAGTTAGAATAACATAAGAGATTCTGAACTGCACATCTTCTGTGTTGCTGAAAATAAGTCCTTTCACTCATTACTAGAGCTAATCACACTTTGCTGATATTAGATTTTATGTACCATACTGCTGTTTTTATCAGAGCTAATCACACTTTGCGAATAATAGGTTTTATGCACCATACTGCTGTTTTTACCAGAGCTAATCACACTTTGCTGATATTAGGTTTTATGTACCATACTGCTGTTTTTACTAATCTGCAGGAAATAAGGTTTTACAAACAAGAAAGCTTTGTGACACAAAATAACCAAATAAATATAATGTATACACTGAGTATTTAATTTTACTGGCAGTACATGTTGGGACATATATAAATTACATTGTTGTTTCTTCACAACTCTCATCATGTAATGAAATCAAATTATTGCTAAGAGCATCACATTTCTGCTAATTTCTTGATAGGACATACCATAAGAACAGAAGATAATCTTACTTACCAATGATGACATAAGATCGATGCAAGGAACATTGTCAACGTAGTTCACCTCTACTTCACTTTCGACTCCTTCCTCTCGACAAGACTCAATGCTACTCTTAAACACATGAGTGTTGTAGAAATGCTGCATTGTTTCTGCACACAGGTTGATACACAGATGTTCCAACTGACTAGGCTAGAGGAAAATAAACTTGGATAATGAAAGTAGCTTTTGTTAAACTAACTTTAAATTCAAACAAGCTGACTAGGCTGAAGGAGAAGTTGAATGGTGAAAGTAGAATTTGTTAAACTAGCTTTAAATACAAACAAGCTGACTAGGCTAAAGGAAAAGAAACTTGGATAATGAAAGTAGCTTTTGTTAAACTAGCTTTAAATACAAACAAGCTGACTAGGCTAAAGGAAAATAAACTTGGCTAACGAAAGTAGCTTTTGTTAAACTATCTTTAAATACAAACAAGCTGACTAGGCTGAAGGAGAAGTTGAATGATGAAAGTAGAATTTGTTAAACTAGCTTTAAATACTAACAAGCTGACTAGGCTAAAGGAGAAGAAACTTGGATAATGAAAGTAGCTTTTGTTAAACTATCTTTAAATCCAAACCATCTGAGTAGGCTGAAGGAGAAGAAACTTGAATAATAAAAGTAGTTTCCATTAAAATAGTTTAGACTATGAATATTCTTATGCATACTGATTAGTTTCTCACACTCTGGAAATGTTACCTTGCTAGCTTCAAATCCAAACATGTCAAGAATTCCTATAAACCCATCTGTGGCATGACGAACAGCAGAGTTTAGAATAGTCATGGACTTGGATGATCCGACACCTCTGGAGCCAACAGTAGATGCATGTTGACTGCCAGTCTCCACTAAACCGAAAATATTATATCTATCATCATAATATTAGAATGTTACTTTTACACACAACATTCACAGTGATATGTAATTTTGGAGGGTGAATGATTTTACTTATTACTTCTAAAACAATGTTAAACAAACTTGTCTTTGGTTACCAAAATTATTTTCCTTGGATGTTTAACTCCTTTAAACTTGATATTATTTTTACAGCATTGTCTTTCAATGAATTTTCAAACTTCAACTACTTTAACTCAGGTAAATTGTACTAAAATGAGCTAAAATTTGACTTCCCTCAAGTCTGCCAGAAAAGTTTCTCAGCACAGCCAAGTGTATTCTGTTTCAAACATTTTCTTCTCAAGTATTCCAGTGTTAACAATCAAAGTGTTCCAGTTTTAGCTATCAAAGTATTCCAGTATTGAATACATAAGTGTTCTAGTGCTAACTACACAAGTGTTCCAGTATTAACTACACAAGTATTCAGTATTAACTGCACAAGAGTTCCAGTATTAACCTGATTAAGTCGATGGTTAATGTATCCTCCTTGTGTAAAAGACAATAAATCATCCTTTAATGTATTTCCCCAGAAAACGGCAATCCTCTTCCAGATCCCGCAGCTAAACCCTAATGCAGACATTTTCAGTCCTGTTAGAAGTCACATCCCAGATATGAATGTTAGCAATAGGGGTGATCTAGTACGAAGGAAGCCACAGGAATTCGATGGGAAGGCACCATGGGAAGCATGTAGAGCACAATTTGAACTCCTGGCAGAGATGAATGGATGGACAGAAGAGCAGAAAGCAGTATATCTGGAAACGAGCCTGAAGGGATAACCACTGGAAATACTTCGATAGTTGTCAGCAGACGACAGGCACAACTATAGAGCACTGGTAGCTGCTCTAGAACTCAGGTATGGAACCCAAAATCAGTCCGAAGTCTACAGGGTTAGGTTTAGGACTAGAGTCCGTGCTAAAGGGGAGAGCCTACAAGAGCTGGCACAGGATTTGCAAAGTATAGCACACAAGGCCTACCCAACTGCACTACCCGATCTCCTCAAGTTGTTGCTAAGGTATCAGTTTGTAGATGCCTTGGACAGTTCACAACTGAAGATACAAGTGAAGCAAGCACACCCCTCTACTATACAAGATGCAATGGCCAGAGCTCTTGAATTCGAATCCTACGTTAAGTCCAGCACAGAGAAGGTTGGTACAATCATCAGGATTCAAGGCCAGAAAAGGTCAGCGTTCATAGAGGTTTGAGGGATTGTGCTGGTACTGTAACAAGCCTGGGCACCAGAAAGCTCAATGCTGGAAGCTTCAACACAGGGAATATGCCACGGCAGGAAAGGCTGCTACCCAGAATGGTTGTTCGAACTGTGGAGAGCAAGGACATATGAAGAACCAGTGTAAGAAGAATACTACTAATAATCAACCTCAGGGAGACCTTTAGTGCTTGGTGTTGAGGGACAGCTAGGTGTAAAATGCCAAGCACACATAGTGTATACGTGACAGGAAAGCTGGATGGCCAAAAGTGCAACTTCGTCATAGATTCTGCATCTCATCAAACCCTTGTGAGTGTCAAGGTGCTGGATCACAAAGGAGTACCGGAAGCCATACAGAAGCTTTGTGACGTGACAGGACATTATGCAAGGTTGTGGGGACCACTGTGGGTAACTATTGAGCTCATGGGCATGAAGGACAGATACAAAGTATACTTGGCTGACATTGAAGACCAATGCATACTAGGGTTGGACTACTTACTACCGAGGAATTGTGAAGTTAATTTTGATAAAATTAGATTTGGGAACAACAAAGGTCAAATTCCGGTAAGTGTTAAAAGAGAGATTGAACTAATCAGGTGTCATCAAGCTGAAGTCAAAGTGACTGAAGGAGTTGATGATGGTGAAGTGGAACCAAATATAGATATTAAAGCAGAACAGGAGTTAGACCAAGATTTGAAGCCAATAATGGATTTTTTAAAAACAAGTGTTTTGCGCTCTGCTTGGGAGAAGGTGTCTAGTCTAAGCCCTGTGACAAAGAACTATTGGGCACAATGGGACCAGTTGAAGCTTGAAGATGGTATTCTTCGCCAGAGATGTTAAACTGCAGATGGGAAGTGATGACCTGGCAAACGGTTATACCGAGAAAGTTATGGGAAGTTGTGCTACGTCAAGAAGGACATCTCGGAGTTAAGAAGACATTGAGTCACCTACGACACAAATTTTACTGGATAGGTATGAGACAAGATGTGTAAGAATGGTACAGGACATGCAGTACATGTTGTGCTAAAAGGA